GTGTGCGCAGCTACGGGGTGTGCACAGCTAAAGGGTGTGCACAGCTACAGGGTGTACACACAGCTACAGGGTATGCACACTACAGCGGGTACACACAGCTACGTGGTGCACACACCCAAAGGGTGTACACACACCTACGAGGTGCACACAGGCACCTACAGGGTGTACACACTGCAGGGTGCACAAACCTACAGCCTCTCACAGCCTTCCCCCCATCCTTGCCAGAGTGCAAGGCACACTAATGCAGGGACACTGTTTTTACAGTTATCATGACAGAATTTGAGAAATTAGCAGGCCTGAACAGTATCACCAAAAGAGGAACATGGGGCTGAAAGTGCTGGTGCTGACAACTCCCTCCTGGGTCAACCTGCATTTTAGCAAGGGCACTGCAGACACAGCTAATAAACCTCACTGCTCCTAGTGTTAAAAACACATTAATTTTCCAACCTGAAAAGTTTGGGCAACCTCTGCTCATTTGACCTGGCACCATGTGACTCTTAGCCTTCTCTGGTTTTGACATCAGCGATGTGATTTTTTAATGGGGGAAACCTTTCAGATGTTACCTTGCTAGATCTTTCAGAACCTCTCATAAAATAGTATTTCTGTTCCCCTGATCAGTTTGAGGTGTTCTTTGCATCCTCATTTTTTTGTTTCCAGATTTTTGAAAGCCAGGCTTCTGTCTAATATTCCAGGTGAAGGCATAGAAACAAAGAATCATAGAACCATGAAGGTTGGAAAAGACATCCAGTTAGTCAAGTCCAACCTTTGACTGAACACCACCATGTCAACTAAACCATAGCACTAAGTGCCACATCCAGTAATTTCTTGAACACTTTCAGGGATGGTGACTCCACCATCTCCCTTGGGAGTCTGTTCCAATGCTTAACCACCTTTTTCATTAAAAAAATTCTTCCTGATGTCCAACCTGGACCTCCCCTGGCATAGCTTGAGGCCATTTCCTTTTGTCCTGTTGCTAGTTGCCTGAAAGAAGAGGCCAACTCCCACCTTGCTACAACCTCCTTACAGGTAGTTATAGAGAATGATAAAGTCTCCCCTGAGCCTTCTTTTCTCCAAACTTAACAGCCTCAGCTGCCTCAGCCACTCCTCATATGATATACTCTTCAGACCCTTACCAGCTTCAGCACTTTAATGTCCTTCTTGAAGTGAGGGGCCCAGAACTGGACACAGTACTCAAGGTGCAGCCTTGCCAGTGCCAAGTACAGGCAGACAATCACTTCCCTAGTCCTGCTGGCCACACTATTGCTATTAGAGGCCAGGATGCCATTGGCCTTCTTAGGCACCTGGGCACACTGCTGGGTCATGTTTAGCTGGCTGATGACCAGCATACCCAGATCTTTCCAGACTCTCTGGCCCAAGCCTGTAATGCTGCATGGGAATGCTATCAGTCGCATCAGTACAAGGAGCTCTCTTCCCTGTCTGAACCAGACATACATTTCCTAATGTCTCCAGCAATCACATCTATCCATCAGAGCAACAAGTGGTCTTCAGTAATTTTTGCCTTTTGCTTCCAGTTTTTCTTTCTGTCTCTCATTGCCAGGGAATGACTCACCTTCAGTTTGCACTGTCAATTGTGATAGCCCCTAGATGTACAAATTTCATTTGCTCTGTGGAACTGTCATAAAATCTCGAGGTTAGGTACATTCTCGTCTCTGATGCCCAGATCCTCTTCTCCACTGACAGTGCTTCCCCGATTTTTTTCCCTGACAGGTTAGTCAGTACCTTTCCCCCTCAAAAAAATATGACAACACACTGCATAACAGATCCAGAACAGCAGTCCTGAATTTGTAAAAACATTCCCACAGCACTGCAGCCGAGTTATGGCCACTAAGGGTCAGCAGAGTTTGGGTTTTCCTACAGTTTTGTGGTTTCTGTTCAATAGTGTTAAGCTGGCACAGGCAGCAGGCCCTCTAGATGGCTGCATAACACCAACAGTATGCCTGTGGGAGTAGTAAGGCAGCTTCGAAAAGGGAAGAGGTATAACAAGTTACAGCTTTTACATCAGGTTACACTGAAAAGGACATCTTTGTCACTTGTTACGTGGTGATATTTAAAAGCCCAAGTATGGTCTGGGACCAGGTGAGCAGCCACCCTTCCACAAGAGTCACTGATAAGCCCATGGAGCAGGAACACTGGCAAACTCGTGACCATGGCCCCAGCTGAAAGATCTCACTGTCTGGACTTCTGCATGAGATGATTATTTTTTTCCCCACTCTTATTCAAAGGATTTTATATAATAAAACATGACAAGAGTCTCGATGAATGATTTTGCAAGACTAGCTGTAAACTAAGCTGCTGAACATCACTGGCACAAACACCCCTGCATTGACACAGCCCTCACAATTTTAGATGGCACGAATGAAAAGGAAGTTCTACTACTGTTATAGTCACTGACAGACAGCAGTGGAACCTGAGAGCAAAAACCCTAGAAAAGCAGCAGCATAAAGCAGTATTTCTCATTTGATCAGCAAGGAGCTGAAGTTTTTTAAATGTCTCATGCCCTGTGTCCCAGCAGCTACAGAGGCCTGGCAGCCTCTTCAAGACATCTGCCCTTCGGGAAGAAAGTCGTATGCTATGTACACGTGTGGCAGATTTCTCCAAAGCCAAATAAAACAATTAACCTTGGGCAGAATGATGATTTGTGATGGTAGAGGTTTCTCTGGGACAAATTCAAAGCATCACTTCAGCTTGAAGGTTTCCACCACTCTTACTCACTTCCAGAATGGCTGCAGAATGCAGAGGCAACAACCTGCCAGAGAGGTCCATGTCCATCTATCACTTTTCTGAAGTGAGTTTCTACAAAATTCCTTATCACAAAATCACAGTATGGGTTAGGTTGGAAGAGACCACAGTGGGTCAACTGGTCCAACCTCCCAGCTCCAGCAGGGTCATCCTAGAGCACATGGTACAGGGTTGCATCCAGGCAGTTCTTAAATATTCCCAGTGAGAGAGACTCCACACCCTCTCTGGACAATCTGTTCCAGTGCTTGGCCACCCATACAGTAAAGAACTTCTTCCTCATATTCAGGTGGAACTTCCTGTGCATCAGTTTCTGTCCATTGCCTCTTTGTCCTACTGCTTGACACCACCAAGAAGAGCTTGGATCAATCCCCTTGACAGCCTCCATTCAGACACTTATGTACATTGGTGAGGTCCCCTCTCAGTCGCCTGTTCTCGAGGCTGAACAGGCCCAGCTCCCTCAGCTTGTCCTCATAAGGGTGATGCTCCAGTCCCCTAATCATCTTCATTGCCTTCCACTGGACCCACTCCAGGAGCTCCGTGTCTCTCTTTTGTTGAGGAGCCCAGAACTGGGCAGAGCACTTCAGATACGGCCTCACTAGGGCTGAGTAGAGCCTAGTTATTTCTAGGCCCTTGTCACAGCCGTGGGGCAAGGCAGGGTGGAGGGTGTAAAAGGCAATGAGACAGACAATTGAGGCATTTTGCAGCTGGGAAAATAAACTGAAGGTCATGTTTTTGAGGAAACCCTTTTTTTCAACAGTCTTTTTTTTCACATGGGGTTAAGAAATCAAAATAGTACATATGAATCCAGCAGTGGAACCCTCAAGCAGGCTTCAGCATAGGGCTTCTCACTGCTTTTTTTGAATATAAAGTCCCTCTGGGAATCACAAGGAGTGCCCTAGAACTTTCCCTCACAGGTTGAGATCTCACAGCATTGATTCAAGCCTCTCATTTTCTTTCACCCTCTGGAAATCATGCAGTACCCCTGCATGCAACATCTAAATA